AGTAGCCAGCAGCTAGCTTTGTTCCTTACCCTCTTGGCATGCATGAGACATTCTTTTCAGGTGTGCCAGATAAGCAGAGGACATGACAGCTTTCGCTGTAGCATTTTTGTCTCCAATTATTTTAATTTATATGTTCTGTTCTCTGATCTGGTACCCCGCCTGCCATCAAGAGAGTGATGCACTGCAGGATTTTTAGGATAAGCCATTTCTGAGCCAACATAACCCGCCAACCCCTAAGATTTCAAGAAAGTTGGATGAAATCATTACTCGATCATATTTCTGCTTGTGGTTGCTCTGCCCAGTAGAAGTGCTTGAAAGGAAAATTTCATCTTTGTTCTACTTGTTCCTGTGCTAGCAAGGATGTGTGAGCAGGCTACAATTCATGGAGCAACAGTGCAGAGATTCCCACAATGTGCACTGTGGCCTCTAGTCCTAAGGGGCTGTATGTCATTATCAGTCTTTCTTATCAACAGTAGAGATTTGTTACTACTTTCTGCCAATAAACTGTACAGATTTTGACATCACTTTGAACCTTAATATCAGTAAAAAGGAGACATGCAGCTTTGCATCCAGTTGCTGGGGTGAGAAATGAGAGACACAAGAGCGGTTTCCTTTCTAAAGCATGTCAGGTTTCACAAACCAGCTCTTTTCCATAAGAAGTCCTTATCTACTTACAGGAATATGGAAAGCCTAAAACTCTGCTCTAGTTTAGCCAGGCTCTCTAATGAGACCTACCAACCTATCAGCAGTGCTGATTCTATCAGGTTGTATTTTAATTGTCATTGTTACCAAAAATGAAAGGATCTCAGTTGCTGTGATGAACAAAAGGAAAGAGAAGGAGCCTCAGGGGGGCTGACCCAGCACACAGGGGCAGAGGCTGCAGGCACGCTCACATCCTCTCACAGAGAATTCAGCAGAAGGTTGCTCTGCCTTGTGCCGTTGTCACTGCTGGCTGCCTGCAAAGAAAAATGCAAGATGTTAGAGTATGTGTCATAGGATACAGAAATAAAGAATTGTGTTTGTGGTTATTTCATTGAAATAAAAAAGAAAGGAGGGACATTTTATTTCTGTCTTTCTTTCTTTTTTTTTTTTGTCAGGAAAATTGTGACAGAATATGTTTTGGACAACTTTGCAAGTTTTGTAATCTACACTTAGGTAAAATGTTTATAATGGATTAATAATATTTTTTGTTAATATGTGTGTGTTAGTATGTGTTTGTTAAAAAAACCTCCAGAGCGATCTGTCCTTGTTTTACAGTTTGCTAAAGGTCAAATCCATAAACGTTAACTGTAGGCAGGTTTGAAGAGGCTCTTCAAGCCTTTAAATGCATGCCTGGACTCCGGCCCACTTCAGGATCTCCTTGATGCTTCGAGCAGTCCGATGTATTTAAAAAGGAAGCTGAGTTTGCTATATTAGTTTACTAAACCCCACATCATTCTTCTGAACATTCATTTGCAGTGCAAAGGTAACTTTATCACCTATTTGTTCCCCCGTGCTTTCATATGAAGTTCCTGTGTCCTTTAAAAAGACAGTGGGAGTTGTGGTTAGCTTGCTGCACTGACAGCGATTCAAACATGAGTAGTTCAGTGCCTCTGTCCCCACTGGGATGACATGGTCGCTGCTGGTGACTGCAGGCTCTTGGATGGGGCAAGCTCCAGCAAAGAGGGAGGAACTTCCTAAAAGAGCTACCAGTAACCAGTGGTCTTCTGTGAATATGGCCCTTCTGGGAGTACTTATGGATATATTTTTATATATAAAAAATAGGAGTGCATAAGGTCCCTTTAATGCTTTCAAACAGCTGTGTACCATTCTCTGTTTCTAGATGTTTTAATTATAGGTTAATGAAGTCAGGGATTTGGATACTGTATTATATGCAGAAATACATGTCTCCTTCTGGATGCTGAGTGCAAACTTCACCGTTTGCGATGGTTTTCTCACATTCAAGACTCAAATCCTCATTATCCATGCCTTGGGAGTAGGGCGGGCTTGTCAAAATGGTACATTGCAATCCTTCCACAGGTAATGAGGTAATAGATACATCTAATGCTTTCGGAGAAGCATGAAACTCTACTGCTGAAATGAAATTGAGTTCATGAAAGGGCAGAGTTATCTTCTAAAGTAAGTTTTTGCATGACTGCAGAGCAAATACTGCATTAAAGATAAGGCTAGAGCCTCTGTTTTACTGATAATGTTCCAAGTTCTCATTTTTTTTCCTCCAAATTATGATACAGTTTCCTGCAAGCTAAGCAGCCATCCTGCTAGATCTGACTGCTGCTTTATTGGTACTTAGTGGCATGTCAGTCTACTAAGACATGAAGCAGTATGTATAAGAAGAAACATGAGTTGCCAGCATAACAGGAAAATACTTATTGGCGACTTGGAAGTCCTGTCATCTCAGAAACTATTGTGAAATGGATCACAGTCACAAGCTGGCTTTAATTTAAAGCTGATTTTTGTCATTATCAGCACAATTGCCTACACATTTGGCAGAGGACCTATAACGGTATTTACAAATTTTCCTGTAGATGTAGATATCTATGTAGATAGATGTATAGGTATTTATATATGTCTATATAGATATCTGTATAGATATATTTATGTGTAGATATGTGAAGCATTTATAAACATACTTTGCACCATCCTAACACCTCTACCAGAAGTTAAATGGAGGCCTGGGAGAATAAGTTTGTCTCTCAGTAACACAGCAGAAAGAAATCCGAGAGAAACACCATTTTAACATATTCCTCACATGCTCAGTTTGTGGTGTGAAGTCCACTGTGTGCACTCTCATTGAAGCTGCAGACTGCTTCTGAGCTATGGTTTGGGGAAGTTGCCTTCAGGAAGGCTGTCCTGGTCTAGTGGTTGGCGACCCTGCACATAGCAGGAGGGTTGAAACTAGATGATGATTACGGTCCTTTTCAACCCAGGCCATTCTGTGATTCTGTGAATAGCTGCCATGGGAACCAAAAATTCAGGCATGTGAAACTGATAGGAAATCTGGCAGCATTAAGATGCCACTGAGCAAGGATGCTTTTATCACTCACACACTATCTCAGTTCTGCCAGTGTTTGGGGTTGTGTTGTGGGCAGTGTGGTACTAGCAAATTACTGGGTTTCATTCTCCACAGCTGATGTTTTAGCTGCCCTCTTTCACCAAAAATACCTAAGTGGCAGAAAAGTGCACAAAGCCTCAAATTCTGGATATGGACAATGCTAAATACCACTCGCCTTTGCCACCAATTTCATGTTTCACATTTAGGACACTGGTTCCAGAGGTAATTGAAGCAGGTACCTGAAGTGGGTGGCCTAATGTTTTGATCTTTGTCAGTAGGTTATGAGTGAGTTGGAGTCATGTATACTAAGGTAGAAGGCAAGTTACCTTTGTGAGGACTGGAAAGATCTTGAGTAAATCCCACCAAGACAGGAGATGGGGCAGATCTCAGTATCAAAAAAGTAGCCTTCCTCCTGCTGGTTGAAACCTTTTCTCTGGTGCAGGCCTCAGTAACTTAGAAATAATACATGCATCTTCACTAAGCCTTCTGAATTATTCCCGTGTTATTCTTGTCTGGCTTTAATTGGTTAGGTAGTTATGGATTTATTCTGCAGGTTTTTTGGTGCTTGCAAGCTTTCAGATTCACAGCATATGCGCTTGTATTCATATTTGTATTCGTAAATCTCTGAAAGTTTACAGGATGTAGCAGATCTCCGAAGATTGTTGCTCATTATCTAAAGCCCACTGTATTGGAAAGGAGATTCTGTGTACCCTCTGCTGGATTTTGTTTGTTTTCCATTCATAAATTTATGTCAATGAGTGCCAGCTGGCATTTAGGACATGCAGCAGTCAAGGGGTGAAGCAAACATTTGCAAGCACATTGCAGGCTGATGCACATTTGTGGATACTGTTTGGTGAATCATTCCGAGCAGCTAGCACATCCAGAACATCAGGATCCTCTCACGTACTGAAGGAAATGTTGCAATTTTACCCATTTGATCTGCATCTGGCTCTCAGGAGGCTTTTATCCCAGTGTGTTGTTTCTTGTTTTTTTTTGTTTTTTTTTTTTTTACAATACTCTGGAATCCAAGTAAATTCAAGAAGAATTCCCCTTGGGTATGACATTTAGAATCTTAACAAAATTTATCACATGTACAAAGTAGGTGAGTTCACTGTACGTAGGATGAGGATTCCTACACTTGAGTAAATAGAGCTGTGCTCTGCACAGGAGCAGAGACGCTAAGTGGAAGCGAGACTGCAGATCTACAGTTTGCCTGACACATCCTGAGCCTTATGAGTTCATTTGTGAGCGGAATTGCAGAGTGAAGATCTAAGGGCAGTGGGTTTTGTTTTTAGGGGATTGCTGCAGTTGCTATTTTTAATGTGAATTTTGCTTGGATTTATTGATTTTTGCCTCTCTTGCCCTGGCATGTAAAAGGAAGGAGTGAGGAAGGAGATAAAACCCCTTCACTATAGACAGGGTTTTTTGTTTTTTTTTTTTTTTTACAATATCCTGGCAGAAGTACTTTTGAGAGTCGGTTTCATCTTTTCCTTGACCCTGCTGCATTACTTACACGGCAGTGCCACCGTGTGGTACCAGCTGCAGGTGTGGTGTCTGGTCGGTAGTGCAGCATGTAGTCAGTACAGGATTGCAAAAAGCAAGAACTCTGGGGCTGGTCGAATCGATCTTCACAGACCTCATCCTCCATCATCCCAAAGTGCCCTTGTACTAGCCAGGCCACTTCTAAAAGCCTGCATGTTCAACTTCTCAGAAGAAGGAGCTGCTGCCTTCTTCTGAGCATCTGTGCAGTGCTACATGGTTAGGCTGGTTCAAAACTCTTGGCTTTACGGTCAGATGAAGCAGCTGTAGAAGAATAACATCACATTACAGTTTACATCTGCTGTGTAATGTACTGAACGTGCTTGCTGCCTCCCTGCTTGCTGTGGTGAACAAGGACAGTTTGTGTTTGGAGGAGATGGCGCTCATCATGTTGGTGTTTCTCTTTCAGGGGGTTCATGAGTCAAAAGGTGTGACTGAAGATTATCTGAAACTGGAATCCCTGATCCAGAAAGTGGTTTCACCTTATTTGGGCACCTATGGTTTGTATTCCAGTGATGGACCCTTCACACACTCTTCCTGTATCCTGGGTGAGTGTAACTGCAGCTTGATTTGACACGGCACAGAGAGCATCCCCAAAAGCTAGCGTGCAAAGATTTTACAAGGTTATTTAAAGCAGGAAAAGGTGAGAATTTGTCTTAAAAAAGACCAAGTGATAAGCCTTCAAATATGTAATAGGTTTCTGCAGAGTGGAAGATCAGAAGAGTAGCACACATATCAAGAGAAACTCAGATACACGGGAGGGAAGGTCTCTGACATTGCATTGGTTAGGAGCTGGACTAAATTGTTGGCGTAGGCTGTTGAGTGTTCACTGCTAGAGGTGCTGTTTACGCATCACATACATAGGCCCCTATAAAAACCAAAGTGGTTGAAAATGATCCTGCCTGATGGCAGAGTCCCTTCCAACTTACTGTCTAGGGTTCCGTGTGCTCTGTTACGTGAAGGCAAGATCAGGTCAAGAGGAAGCTGTTTGGAAAATCCCTCTGAGTGATGCAGTCTGTTGAAATTCCAAAGGGGATATTACCAACAGAAGTCATCAAGGAAATGTGGTAGTACCCAAATACTGTTATGTATGTACTGTGATGGATAGAATCGAGGAAATGGAGTAAGTAAGTTAAATTGCATCTGTATCTGTACAGTCCCCTGAAGCTGAATGGAAAAATGCTTGTGTTGCAGTGTGCATTGAAGAAACAAGGATGTTTTACGTGGATGAATAGAGGCCGGTTATTTATGGAAAATGGATTATTACTTGGTATTCTTTACTTGCCATTCAACAGAGCCCCAAATTGTTTTCTGAATAAAGGCTCTTATGCGTCAGGACAGAAAAAATACACTCAAAGTGAATAAAATTCCATGGGAATGCCTTATTAGAAAAGAAATGTGATATTGTATGACAGCAGAAATTAGAAAGGTTTTATGGAACTGGGCACATTGCCTTGCTGAGTCTGTGATGTAGGTCTGTAGGAATACCCCTAAATAGCTCTTGCTTTGGTCAGTCAACCTGAATCCAAGGGAGCTGAGAACACAAGAAACCGCTGCTTTTAAACTAAGAGGTCTAGTTGTTGTCCAGCTGCTTTTGCCCATCTAGTGAGCACAGCCAGCCTTCCCCTCCAGCCAAACTGTGGTGTGAGCAAGAAGTCAGAGTTTGTGTAGCAAGGCTGCCCCTTTTCTGTGTGCCAGGTAAAAAAAGTCCCCAGATGAACTTGACTAAGTTCGCTTTACTACGGAAGCTGTAGCAACTGGAAATTGCAATCTTAATTTACAGAAATTTCTTAAATTTGTGTGATTGGCATTTGAATCCAGGTGAGCACGAAAATGTAATTGTAGAAGAGAAAGGCATTGTTAAGGGGAATCTCATAGCTTGGAGTGAACATATTCTAAGCATCCTAACTTCAAGCTTTTTTTTTGGTTATTCTTTTCAGGGGCTGTAGTTGATATCCAGACTATAACCCAATTCCCTCCTCCAGCCGTGCCCTTTTCACGAGGATGGGAAGTGTGAGTGGCAGGGAGAAAGCTTCAGAAGTGTGACCCAAGAGATACACCACGGTTTTATTTTTATTTTGTGCACAAGTGAGGCAGAGCAATGAAATCGGCAAAACCTTTGCATGATGATATTTTTGATCTAGCTGCAGTGATCACTCCTGCCCTAAAACGCTGGTGGAGGATCTCCGTGCTCACTTGCTGCCACCTGCCGGTCATTGTTTGGAAAGAACGCACTGGGTTAACCACGGCCTCGTTAAAACTTCTGCTGGGCTGCGTGCAGCTGTGTTTCCCAGTAAGGTGCCATGGGCTCTGCCCTCCGGTGACCATTTCCAAAGGCTATTGGTGTTCTCTCATTGCGGTCTCCAATGTTCATTGCGGTCTCAATGTTCTCTCATTTGTGGTCTCCAAACAATGCTTTGAATCAATGTTTTTTCCAAAATACTTTAGTAAAACTGTGTATCTTAATCCTTCATGCCCCAAAGATGAAGAGATGAGATTTTCTTAGGGTGGATATCAGCTATTTTTAAAATAGATTTGAGGCATTCAGTATGAGAAAGAAAGCTAGGAATCTGAATCCTATGGATCTACAAAACCAGTAAAATATATTATTTTTAAGAAGTTTGTGTCACACAAGAAAAAGCTTCTAGTATTTGGGCCTGGACTTTTATTTGAACGCTCATAATTCTGAATAGCACAAAAACAGGAGACTTCATAGATGTCATCCTGGATCTTTCTTTCCTTACAGAGAAGCGGTTCTTCAGGCGTTCCAAGTCAGGTGACATCCTTGCCAAGAACCCCGTGGTGCGATCGAAAAGCTACAATAATCCACTGCTGACACCAGTAGCTGAGTATGAAACAGAGGGTATGGCTGCCAACGGGACAAGCATCCGAAGGCACTCTGTTTCAGAAATGACTTCCTGCCTGGAGCTCCAAGGGTACTCCAACCTCACCACCATCATGGACAACGGTTCTAAGAGCTCCATGACGGCCACAAAGAACTTGCTGTCCGACCAGGAGCGGTCCAGTGCTGGGTCAGCGCAGTGCTCCGGCAAGCTCAGCACAGTGGAACAACAGAAAGGACACTTCCACTCAATGGACGACCCACATAGGTCTTTTGAGCTGGACAGGGACCCTTCCTTGATTCCTGTTCCTTCTTCTAGCCCTGAGAACATAGTGGATCAGATTTTAGAGTCAATTGACTCTGATTCTGAAGGCATTTTTATTGATTTTGGCCGAGGTTGTTCCAAATCATCAGCGTACAATGTGGACGTGAACAGACAGAGCGTCTTGTGAAGGACAGCAGGACACGAGCCTTGGTTTTTAATATTATACAAGAAAGCTACTAACGTGTTGAGTCAGACCATGGGCAAAAGCTATGTGTGTCTAGGGCACAACCTCAGCTGTGTTCAAGTATTCAAACACAACAGTTTACAAGAGGCAGAAAGCGGCTGCCTGGGGGGAGAAACCCTGATGACTTCTCCCTGTCCCTATCCTCTGTGTTCTGATTTCTTACTGTCTTTCTAAACATAGGGATTTACAGACTAACAGGTATCTGGTAAAAAGCAGTTGTTACAACTGTCAGGGTCTATTCAGTAATGCTGCCTAGTAAATGACTCAAGAGACTCCTGTTGAAGGGCAGGTTGTTCTCTGGACTGTTAGCTGGAGCACAGAAAATTATCCTTTTAATAAGAAAAACAGAAAAAAACAGAGGCTGTGGTCCTTCATAGCACAGAATACAACGATAAAGAAGTCTCTTTTAATCTTTTCTTGTACATCTTGTATGCACTCCTTTGCCCAACGGTGAGCTAAGAGTTCTTGAAGAATGGCAAATAAATGGAAATGTGCTACCTGACGTCATGCGATGCCTGATGTCTTGTATTCTGCTTTATGGCTGGTGCTTTGTGTCTGTGAGAGGGTTGTCTTGAAATTGGCTCTTAAGACCATGTTAAGACATGGCACTTCAAAGAAATCTGTGCGTTGCTGACTCCTAGAACAACCATTGTGGGGAAAGTTTCCAGCTAGGTTCAACTTGATTGTTTTTACTTAGTAAATAAAAATATGGCCTCTCGATGGGCATCTCCATTATCTATTTATATTCTTCAAGTAATTCCACAATGCATATGCTGTAAGTTGGAGCATGTGAAGTAGGTCGTAAGGTAGTGGATTGGTAGACGTGATGCCAACGTGAACAAGAAATCCTGATGCCTGACAGATTCTTGACAAGATGGCTTCACAGTAAATGCTGTGCTGCTGCATGTCATTGCATTGCAGGTGTCTCTTCTGGAGCTGGGAGGTAGTGGGCACCTCCACAGCTGCGCAGCAGAGATGGGCCTCCGAGTGATGAAACAGAGCCTGGTTCTTAGCTCAGAAACTCAAGGACTGCTAAGTGATATCATACTTCTTTGATGCAGAGATGAGCAATCTCTTCCATGTTCCAGTAGTCTCAAATCTTATGGCCGAGGAACAGACCTTGTGGGGAATGTGATAACTGAGACCCAAACAGGCTGAGACTCCACTCCTCAGTGTAAGTGTCCAGAGCACAGAGTCACGCGAGTTCTGGCATCAGGTTCCAGGCATACTTGGACCTGAGCACACTTCCAAGATCAAGACATGCTGCTTTGCCTCTGGGACCATCCTACATGGAGCAGAGTCAATGTGGGCGTACCTTGCCAAAATCAACTAGCGGAAACATAGATGCAGCAGAACATACCTGCAGCAAGAGCATCTCCAGTGCCTCTGGATGTTCAGCAGAAAGCCACAGATGATCAGACCACTCATAGAGTCATAGAATCATAGAATGGCCTGTGTTGAAAAGGACCACAATGACCATCTAGTTTCAAGCCTCCTGCGATTTGCAGAGTTGCAAACCACTGTACCAGGCTGCCCAGAACCACATCCAGCCTGACCTTGAATGCCTCCGGGGATGGGGCATCCACAAATCTTTGGGCACTCATCAGCTGCTTTCTGGCTGTGGTGATGCCTCTCTCATCCTATGGTGCTGCAGTGGAGCAAACCCAGGCGCTCTTCGGCCCTACAAGGTAGAGCAAGCTGGCAGCTCCATCACATTTTTGGCTTTTCAGGGTCCTACCAACATTTGGTATGTTTGCAAAGTGATGGTGGTGGTGCTACCAGATATTTGCCCGTGCTTTCCTCAAAGTGGAGTGCAGGAATGCTGCAGTCTCAAGGCCATGTTTGGGGCCATGTTTGATTCTGTACAAAGAGCAGGAGAGACAGGAGGTCTTGCTTTACTTTTATCTGATATGACAGGAATGGTAACTCCCAGAAGTGGAGAGCTGATGTTTTCTGTCCTTTTATCCTCCTGAATTGTTACAGGCTCCCATGTTAAGGCGGCCAGCACCTGCCCTCGTTCCTTCTGGCAAATGCTGTTCTGATTCCCAAAGAGCTCTCTGCTCTTTTCCTAGTTGGAATGGCTTCCAAGATCCTGCAAGGGCTATGCAGATCAACAGATAGCACTTAAAAATCCTGTCATCCGGCACTGCAGTGTGAGTGTCGTGCGAGCAAAGGGAACTGGGAGGCGGACCTAAGGAGCAGCTGCTGAGCACCATGGAGGAGACATACAGCTCCCTGAAGCACAAATGGAAGTAGCAGAATAATTGACTGCAAATAATGCTGTCCAAATAGAGGCCTCTTTTTTTTTTTTTTTTTCCTTTTCTCCTTAGAAGTGGGGAAAATGGCTTTTGGTTCCTCAGTTAGTTCCTATCAAGGTGTTTTTAATTAGCACTTCTGACTAAAACGTCCTTGCCGATACTGCCTGAGTTGGTCGGCTTCAGCAATGGAAGAGCTTAGAGCTGTCTCTCTCCTACTGCCCTGGGTATAATGTGTAGGCATGCAAGTCTATGAATGTATCTGGTCTGTCTCCAAAGTTCTAGTTAGAGATGTGTGGATTGCCCCTTTATTAGGATATAAGAGAATCTCTGAAATGACAACGTCAGAAAGGCCTTTGTGTTAGATTGGGCAGCAAGTGTTTTAATGACATCTTGCAGCATGAAACAACACAAAATTCTCCTTAGTCCTACAGCTGACAGTTTGCGTATGTCTTATCACAGTGCTTCCAGCAGCACCTAATGGCTGCTAGAAATTAGTCCCCATTAGAGGTTGGGAGGAAGGCGGTCCGTCCCCTGGCGCACTGTCCTGCTTTAGATGCTGGAGCTTCTCCACTCCAGAACCTGAGCACTTCTGCAGCTGTGTTGGTTGTACGTAAGGAGCACAGATGCCTGCAGACTGTCATTATGTCAGGCCTCAATTTCCCACTGCCAGGAAGCCAGAGAACAGCACTTTGCCCTGCTGCTAGCTGGCAGTCTTCTGTCTGCCACTGCTCTAAGACTCTGGTTGTTGTAGGTTGAGAATTGTATATTTTTTAATCTAGAGTCTGCCCGTGGTTGCTGTAGTTGCACACTGCAATTCCTGTCTTCTCTGAGGATAAAGCACTAACAGTGCAAGTGCCTGGTAGCTGGACCCATCCCATGGCCCACCAGCACCACGGCCTTCCTTATGGCCCTGTATCCTGCCATGAGAAGATGAGCTGATGCACTTTGTACAGATTCTGGATCCCTTTTTCAGTGCAAAGGGAAATGATGGTGCTTGGGGCTGGTGGAGCACACCACTGACCTGCTGTCTAAGTGTCATAATTACGTTGGCATTTTTAATATTCTTTGGGCAGGTTGAAGTGACTGGTAATTAAACAATGGAAATGGCCCCTGATTTCACAAGTGTTGTACCCTCAGGTCTTTCACTGCGTAATTGGATTAGCAGCAGGCTGGCTGCTGCCTGCCCGTAGCAGGATTACTGAGCTGAGATGGGCTGCCAGCAAGCTCTGACAAAACCAGAGAGAAGGGAAAGGTGAGCAGTGAGTGGCACAGGGCTGCTGGAAGGTCACTGTTTGGTAGCTGCCTTTGGAGAGTTAGGTATCGGAGGATCAGTTTATATTTCTACTACAGACAGTCTACATCAGTGTTTTCACCCTGACGATTGCTAAGTCCTCCAGAATATTTTTTTTTAACTATTTGGAGTGAAGTAATCATTTGTTTTATTTTATTTTGTTTTTTCAAAGTAAATAATTGTGGGAGAACATATAGCTAGATTTCAAAATGCGCTCCCCTTACAGACCCCAGAACTTTGATTTGGAAATCAGGATTTGTGGGAAATACTTAAGGCACTCCTACTGTCTTCACAATGAAGATTAGTCTCAGGATCAAATTGCCAGACTGGGGCTGGAAGAGCAAAATAGCTTAATTCCATGTCTTCAGCGGGCCTTTTGCGTGGCTTTAAGTCACTTAATTACTCTGTATGTCAGCTACCTATTCAGAACTTGTGGATAATGTTCTTATCGGTCTTCAAATTATCAAGTGTATTGTCTGTTGCTCCAATGTTTCATAATAAGGCATTCTCGAGGAGAGGAGACAGCATATTAGCCGATGATGGAGTATAAACTAAGAGTGCAATCCCAACTTCTCTGTATTTGTTGCCATCATACCCTTTTAATGGATCCGCTCCGCTGAATGAGGTCTATACATGCTAAATAATTCTTACTTATGATCGATCCTCCATTTATCTCAACGCTTTGTTTGGCTTTCCACCTCAACAGCAGTCCTCGCTGACAAGCTCACAATGGCACGACGCTCTGTTCCTTTACATGATAATACCTTCATAATAGAATGATCAGAGAGTTGTAGAATGGCTTACGTTGGAGGGGATGTTAAAGATCATCGACTTCCAATCCCCCTGCCATGGACAGGGCTGCCAATCACTAGGTCAGGCTGCCCAGGGCTCCATCCAACCTGGCCTTGAATGCCTCCAGCAGTGAGCAGCCTGTTCCAGTGCCTCATCACCCCCAACGAAAAAAATTCTTCCCAACGTCTAACCTAAGCCTATCCCTTTTTATTTTTAAGCCATTCCCCCTGTAATACTTTGAGCTCTGAGACCTTTTTCTTTTTTTCCCCTTTGAATACATGTTATTTTGTTATTATCGTCATCAAGCTTCTAGTTTTACATTCTTCTAAACAGTTTAGGTCCCTATTCTGTCCCGAATATACTCAGTGAGTCCCAGGAGCAAATATCACTGCTTCATGCTTCATCCATCTCTTCCAGCCAAAAAAATAAGGGAAGACATTCAGCTTGATTTCCAAAGAGGAAAATTTATCTGCCCACTTCCAGTAGTTCTGTGGAAAACTAAGATCATAATATTATGTTCTTTATGATTGCTCAAACGGTTTTTTGCCAGGTACAGATGCGAAGCTTGATCGTGTGTAAGCGCTTGGCTCATAACCTCAGGCGTGTGATAAAGCACAGGTGAGGTGTGTGTGTTCCCCAGCACAGCGGCTGTCTATCACATGAGACTCCATCTGCTGTGAATTATTTAGCCACTTCCACCACAGATGTGAAGGATGTGCAATCATCCTGAAGAGTGATACGCTGCAGCTGGTCCATACTCCTGGGATGTTCACTGGCGATCTCATTGCATGGTAAGGTAGAGGTGTGGAAGAGGAAACATTGCACACCAAAAAAGGAAGCAGAATGCTATCTGGGTAGTGAACTGGCCAGAGAAACTTTTAGCGAAAGTTTGAGAGGAAAACTGAGGCTTCTTCAAATGGAAAGTGAACCTCCCAGCCCACATCTCTGCCAACAGCATTGTAACTTCCTTATTGTTAAATCTTGTTTTTTTGATGGAGAAAGGCGAAGTTACTCAGAGAAGAAAACTGTGCAGTGCTGAGTGCAGGATTTTGTATGGCTTGTGTCAGGAGGAAATTCCTGGGGTAAGGGTGGAAAACGTTTTCGGTTCTGCTAGTTTCAGTCTAAATTCTGGTCTGTCATTTCCCTATCACTGACCACATC